CTCTCTCTCTCACTCTCACTCTCTCACTCTCTCTCTCTCTCTCTCTCTCTCTCTCTCTCTCTCTCTCTCTCTCTCTCTCTCTCTCTCTCTCTCATACTTCCGCCTCTCCCCCCTTACCTCCCCCTATCAAAAAATTGCTCCCCCCCCCGTTAAACCCTAGGCCAAACCCTCCTCTCTGTCGTCCTCCACAGGTCGAGGATGAGCGGGTGGCCCTCCAGCTGCAGCTCTCCGACGTGCAGCTCCTCGACTCCGGCCTCTTCATGTGCTGGCGGAAGGGCGTTCGTCCAGACCCGCAGATTCTCCTGACGGTGCTAGGTGATCCTCAAAGGGCGACGCCACCAAGGGATAGATAGATAAAGATGGATAGATGAAGGGGTAGATAGATAGATAGATAGATGGATGGATGGATAGATGAAGGAATAGATAGATAGATAGATAGATAGATAGATAGATAGATAGATAGGTAAATAATGTATGTAGATAGGTAGATAGATTGGTAGACAAATAGAAAGATAGACAAATAGACAAACAAAGATAGATAGATAGAGATAGAGATAGATAGAGACAGAGATAAATATAGATAGATAGATAAATAGATAGAGAATTAATAAAAAAGAGAGAAAAATCCAGCAACTTAAGCTTTTCACAGAGATAGAGACAGAGATGCGTTTGTGTTTACATATGTCCTTTAGACCACTCTGTCTCCCTGCATTCGTCAGTCAACAGAGCGCCCATCCCTTGCAGAACCCGGCACATCCTCGGAGCAACAGGTGATCACAGAGCTGCTAGGCCCGACGGAGGTGCAGTACGGCGAATCACCTGTTTTCACCTGCAACATCAAACCTGCTTGGCCAGTCAAGGTGAGTCTATTGATAGTTATGGTCCTTTTTTTTCTCCGTTGTTTCCCTTCCTTGTAGCTGGTGTGAAGGTTCATTTCATTTTTCAATTAACAGAATTTGGTGTATTATCAGTTCCTGCCAATTATTGTTTTACTCAATCTTGTGAATGTTGTTGTCAGGGAGTGTTATTTGTCGTATATAAAATGTGATAAAAAAAATCTCTTACCTAGAACCTTTTTTTCTGAATATTATATATCGAAAAAAAGTAATGATATGCTAAAAATATAAATGACTGAGGCCTTTTTTCCACATTTTAATCGAGGGAGCTTGCAAAAACTCTCCCCCACCCCACTCTCTCTATAAATATATCTATATATCTCTCTATATATATTTGAACTCCTTTCTACCCCCCCCCCCCCTCCGCCCGCAGGTGACCTGGCTCAAGAACGGCGCCGAGATCCCCGCGACGGCCAGGGCCTTCATGCAGAAGGTGCAGCGCGTGGCGGCCGAGAATGGGGACGGCGAGGCCCTGCAGGCGACGCTCACCGTGGACTCCATCAGGGACAGCGAGACCTTCACCTGCCGCATCGAGACGGAGCCGCCGGAGGAGCGGAGCGTCCACGTCGCCGTCAGAGGTCAGGGGGCGAGGGAGGGCGGGGGGGAGGGTGGGAGTAGCTCCGTGTTTTGGGTCTACTTATTTGTCTATTTTCATTTCTGTCCCTGTCTATCTCTTTCGTTCTTGGTATGTCGGTCCATCCATATATCTGTGTGCTTGGTTGTGTCTCCTCCTCTCATTTTCCTTCTCTCTTCTCTCTTCTCTCTCTCCCTCCTTTCTCTTCTCTCTCTCTCTCCCTCCCTTTCTCCCTCTCTCTCTCTCTCACTAGTCCATCTTATACCAAAAAACTGGATTATATCCCTCTAACCACTGATCATCAACCATGTCTTATAACTGCTGATTATTCCCTTTATTCCTTCATTATTCATCACCATTTCCTTCGCCCTTCTCCTGGCAGTGGCGCGCGTGCAGTCGCTGACGGCGGAGCCAGACAAGGACACGGTGGAGTACGGGCAGCCCCTCAAACTCACCTGCGTCGTCTCGGGCACCAAGTCGGAGGTGAGGCTCGACACACACACACACACACACACACACACACACACACACACACACACACACACACACACACACACACACACACACACACACACACAGATAGATAGATAGATAGAAATATAGACAATAGATAGATATGTAAAGAAAGAGAGACAGAGACAGAGAGACAGAGAAACAGAGAGACAAGACAGATACCTATATAGGCAAATACACACAAACAGACAGCCCCAAAAAAGCTAAAGAAAATACCCCCCCCACCTCCTTCCGCGCCTCCTTCAGGTCGTGTGGCTGAAGGACGGAGCCGAGATGGCGTTCGGGCCCTCAGTCTCCGGAAGGGAAAAGGTGTCGACGGAGCGGCCCGGGGACACCCTCGCCTCCACCATCTACATCGACGCCGTCTCCTTCAGCGACAACGGCCACTACGTCTGCTACATCCCCGGCGCCTCCAAGGACATCCTCATCAACATCGAAGGTCGGTTTAGGGGCGCGGTTTGCGTTGCTGGTGGTGGTGGTGGTGGTGTTTTTGTTGGTTTTGTTGTTGGTGTTGTTG